AGAAATCATCTGACGCAAAGCTCATTGATTTTCTAGATCCTCTCTTACCTTTCATCTTCTTCTTGTATTTTATCCATCATCAGTGGTGTATCTTCATCTTACATATCCTCATTGAATTTGTCTCGTAACACCTCCTCCTAACAATAATAATAATAATAATTGGTTGAAAATGTTAGCCAAAGATCAGCTCTATTATTTTGTAGACATTCAAGAGCACACATACGATTTAAAAACTCTAAGCAATACATTCTTTCCTCACAGTAATATCAATTTGTTAAATATACCGTCGAGTCTGGGAGTGAGGCCGAAACAAGTAGAATCCTTAATCAATGAGGGTGTTCATAATGCACTGGAGAGGCCTGTTCCCGAGACTTTCTTTTGTGGCCTCCTGAAGAAACCTCTCAGCAAACGAGATCATTATATGGAAGCTTTCCTTAATTTACTTCCTCAAGTGGCTACAGTTATTCGAGAAGGAAGAGAAATCGAGATTGATACTCAGCATATCGTATATGGAGATTTGATCATACTCAAGGAGGGAGAAACGTGCCCTGCCGATTGTAGAATTATATGGATTCAGGACGAATTGTTGGTCGATGTCTCAGTCATTCGAGGTAAGGCATCGGAGCCAGTGTCTTGCACCACGTACCTGACCGATACACTGCCGTTGAAAACACACAATCTCATATTCGCAGGAAGTAAAATCTTGAAAGGGAAAGGTATTGGTCTTGCCATTGCAGTGGGAGAGAGACGTGTACAGATTCGAATTGTCGATTATGTACTGGGAAAGGAGATGGGAGTGAAAATTGTTCAGCCCACTTCCGTACCACTCGTGAGACCTCAATCACAGCCCAATCTCAAACGAACCTCCTTTACATCCGATCGGTCGGATACGAGTGTGTCGAGTGCAGGCGGTGTGATACGGAGAGGTTCATTCAGTGGTGAACGGAAATCGATGGAGAGAAGATCATCCATGGATCGAAAGTCCATGGATCGACGGTCGGTGAAGGAGCAAGGTTCTGCACAGACCTATAGTAGACGATCCTCGTCTTTTTCAAAGGTACCTTACATTTCGTCATCGTCTTCGCCCTCAAAGATTACTTCACCAAGAAACAAGAGTCTCTTCCAACCAACAACACCTCGATTCAATCGCAATAAACTTTAAGGTTCCATTCTTAGAACTTTTGAAAAAGTAACCATGGTCGTATTTTTGACTCTCATTTTTGTTGTTTTGGACATTAAAGAGAGAGAATCATAATGACATAACTCTTATTTACATATATTGTGTACTCAACAATTATTGAAAACCAGTGAGAGAAAATTATTCTTGCTTTGTAGTGGCAACAAACAAGTAATAAGGCACACGTACAATTCCACAAGTGAGACTAGAAACGAGAGGAATTCTTGCCATATTTTCCTCAACATGAACACCGTCAAAATGATTTTCCAGGTATGGCAAATGGTCAGCATTCACAGAGAGTTGAAGTCCCCAATTCAACAACAAAGGCCACAAGGCACGAGTGATGAGACTGTGTTGTCTTGCTCCAGCTTCTGGCTTTCTTCTTGAAACATACAAGTCAGCAACACCTAAAACACCATTCTCTTCCTTCAACACATTAGTCTTAATATTTTCCAACAATTCAATCCAATTCAATGAAGTTGTTGAGTTTGTCAATGAATAGCTCAAAGTGACAATATCAGCTTTCAAATTATTTGGCAATCGGTAGGAGACTGGATCTTGTTCCACGACTTGAACCAAATCATCACTCAAATTCAAAGTGGCAGCTTGTTGTTGAGCCTTCTCTAAAGCCTTCTTGGATGTTGCAATCAAGTAAATCTTGTTAAAACTACTCTTCAAATTGCCATCACGACACTTGTTGGCCATCAAGGAGAGATCGGATTGAGCACCATAATCAACCCAAACAAGTTTCTTAGAGGTATTGTTATTTGTAGCTTCCTCGAAGACAGTACTCAGCAAGACATCCAATCCGTTTCTTCCAATGACGTTTTGGCTGACCCATGATGATACAGTACACAATGTTTGATCCACACTGCTGAAATCTTCAATTCGCAAATTCTTCTTGACGCGTTCATATTGTTCTTTCAATAATTTCAACCAACTCTGGACAAGATCATTCTTCAGGAGCTTTCCGATCACCCAATCGTTGTAGGCTAACTGTAACTGTTCCTTGATGGTTTTATTTCCTGCCAATACAGGAGCAATGATCGTGTTGTAAAAGAGTTGTAATTGTGTGAGTACAACCACGGCATAGGAAGCCAAAAGTGTATACAAGGCAGATTGGATCACTCTCTGGACCAATGAATTTTCTTTAACCTTGGCCACTAACTGATGGTTCTGTATGTAATGAATGAATGAATTGAGAGCTTCCATTGAGTAGGAGTTGAGAGAATTTTTGTAAAATGGAGAGAGTTGAGAAAAAGGCTTAGTATGGACCTCTGTTGAGCGAGTGTGCGATTGGTGTAATAATTGGTTTTTTTTGACTCGATGAATTCTTTTGGCTTGGGTTTGAAATAGCAAACGCCGTTTTTAAAGATAAATGTTCGAACAGGAATTTTGCTCAATTCCAGGCGAGACCGCAAAAGTGCTAAAAAAAAGCGAAAAGAAAGTCCCGAAGGAAAATTTCAACAAAGAGAGACAAGACACGTGCTCGAGAGAAAGTGCCGACCACAACCGTTGAAATTTTAAAGTTGACTTCAAAAGTGTCTCTTGGAAAATTTTCCAAGCTTTTTATTAGGACATAGTTTGGTTGTAGGCACTCGCACACTCGTGTGGATTTTATATTTAATCTACGAAGAAAAGAGAGGACTGCATAGAGATGATTAACAGGAGAATTTTTACTCGCCAATAAATTGTACAACACGTATGTGACCACTCGTACATGGAGAGATCTCTCAAGAGAGGAACTGTAAAGTATAAAGGCTGATCTGCCATAGAGAATTCTATTTGTACATGGAACCACTGATCTCGAGGCTTGTTTGTAGATGCCAATCCAATACCCAATCATGAACGTAAGAATCATGGCGTCAAAGGGCATATCCACAAATTCAACACTTTTTTTGGGAATATTCATTACTTTTTCGAGGTCTCTAACCGCTAACTACTGCTGTCAAAAGCAGGCACAATGAAAACTACATTATTTGAGGCGGGAAAGCTTCAAAAAAAAATATTATGACTACAAATGACCCTCATCATCAGGAGCAGTCCGTAGTTGACGGACCACCACCTCAACAGGTACCCAAGAAACGAAAAGGAAAAAAGATAAAGAAACCATTCCGTCAACGAGTAAAGATTGGATGGGGGAAAACAGAGCGTAAAGATAAGATTAATTATGGAATTACTATGGGTCTTTCAATAGCGTCGGCCCTATGCAATTTTATTATTTGCATTTGGGCCTTTGCAGTTTTTGGAGTAACCAAGGCCGATAGTCATCGCATTGGAAACACAAAAGCATGTCTATTTACCTACGTGAACAACATTTTTGCAACACTTGCAGTAATGGAATTGGCAAGTGGTCTCATTTCTGCTGCCCATGTGGGATCGTTTATATTTGAAATAGTTTGGTACGCCTCCAAAATTAAGGAAAAAGGAAGTCCAATATCTACGACTGTACTTCTCGGAAAAGGACTTCTCTCCATTATCATGCTCCTTGCTTTCATAACTTATTGCGTCTATGCTTTTTCCCTCAGTTGCCCTTCTACTGATCTCATTCTTGGATTCCAAGCAATTACAATATCCTTTGCTGTTGGCTATGCTGTATTTTGGGTGTTAGGTACTGTTCTAGGTTTTCTCACCTTCCACTTCAATTACAATCTAGTTCAATATCTGAAGGAGGCTATTGTTGGAGATGATGATGACGACGAATCTGACGAAGAGGAGGATGAAGATGCCATCATGGAGGAGGAAATGAAGAAACAGTGAAACCTCAATGTACAGACTCAGATGGGACAGCTCTAGTATTCCACTAAGCCTTTTCCACAATATTTAAATATTTCATTCATTCATATTAAAACTAAGAATTTATTATTGCTTCTTTGACTGAGTTGGTCTCTTGTGTCTTCGTTCAATCGATTGAATGAGCATTCTGAGCTTATTGGCCCGAGTGATAGAAATCTTTTCGTGAGCAATCTTCTTGATGGCCTCGGTGTTGTTCTTTCTGAAAAAGTTCTGTCCATACATACCAAAGTCTCTAAAGTTATTCTGAATGGTGGCATGCACGGAGAGATCTTGCAACATTTGTTGATACGATTCATTGTTCTCCGTGTGACGATTTAATTTTTGTGTTTCCTTCTCAACAATGATTTGAGCTGTTTGTAAGGGTAAGAGAGGAAATAAAAAGGAATGTTTTTTCGAATATTTAGCAAAAGGATTAAAATCTTCGGAGGGTAGCGTTGATGGATCTTTTACGAAACGAAGGGATTGAAGAGCAGACTTGTCTTTCATCAATTTTGCAGTTTCTTCAGCATTGTCTCGCTCCGTCATCATGGGTGTCTCTTCTAATTCTTCAATGTCTTCTTCCTCATCGGAATCTTTAAACGTTTCAGAAAGTTTGAAAAATCCACTAGTGCCTACGGAGGTATTGTTGGTATTTGAACTTGTTGGTTGAAAGAGATTGGATGCCAGAAAATTTGATTTTGAAGATGATGAGGTCAGAGATTGTTGATCCGATGAGTCGGAAGTTAAAGCAAATGCAAAGGAATCGACTGTTGTTGTTTGTGAATGATTATTTGTTTCATCATCACTTGATTCTAGTTTTTTCGGATTTGTTTTAACCTTCTTTTTGTCTTGTTTTTGAGAATTTGTGGTTGATGCTGTTTGGGTCTCTGCATTTTCTTCTTGTGGATGCGTTTGTTGTGAAAGTTTTCGTTTTGGCATTTTTTTATTGAATTACTAATTTTGTTTGTGGCTGAAGAAAAACCAATTCACAAATTCTATTGAATGGCATCATGATTGTATTCGAATCATCAATCATTTGAAATGATGATTACTTTAGAGAATCGCTCAGTAAATATTCTACAATACGAAAACCAGTCATGGACGAACTTGGTTCAAGCTCAATAAATGTTGCTTCTGGAATGTGAGATCGAATGTCATCTTGAATGTCAATAATTTCTCTCTAAGATTTGAAATGTTCAAAGAATTTGCGTCATTGAGTTTTGAAATTTGAACCATTTCACAAATGTCACTTTCGTCATTATTGACATGAACAAACTTACCTCCATAGCTTTGGTAACATCTTCAGTATACCAATTCAACAATTTCATTAATTCTTTCACATCCTTGCTCCTTTTGATAAATTCTTTTTCATATCCTAGCTCTTTGAGCACTTTACAAAAATAGTAACCATTGAAATCAACCTCAATGGTCACGCTGAAACTAGTTGGACTGAGCCACTGCGATTGAATAGCATACACAGCTTCAATAGATTCTCTCTTCATTAAAATGTCTCGAATTTTTGCCTCCATTTTGCTGTCAATACTTCGTCCAATAAGATAATTCCTGTTGAGTTGGATGAGCGAAAGTGAAACAAGTCCTAACAATCCTCCAATGGCCAATGATGCAACACTGTCATAGATTAAATTATCTGTATAAATGGACATTCCAATTCCTGCAAATGCAATCACTACACCGAGACAGGCAGCTATTTTCAGAACAGACAAGTTGGTCGCAGAAAATATTAAACAGTGCAATGAAAAACAATGATATGTACAAGATATAAAAATGACACTTGGAAAATTCCATGAAATCTCTCAAACTTACCCAAATCTTCTAATAATACAGCTAAAACCATAGGGTCTTGAATAGATTTCATGTATTGAAAGATGCCCATGTCTTTTGGTTTTTCTTCTCTCAAATCCTTAACAACACTCAACAAGACACCTCCATCAATGATAAATGATATCAAAAGTACAATTGGTGTGACTAGACCATAATGACACATCATGGTTGTGACCATTTGATCGGGTAAAAACGAATTCAAAATCATGTAACTCCATGAATCTTTTTCAATCATGTCACTTGTAGGAACTAGGACGTTGTGATGATGGTCAGTGCCGTTAGTAGTATCAGTAACTTTGGGATGTGTTTGATGGGAGGGTGGATGAATAAGTGTTTGAATACCATTATACATGACCGAAAATGAACCAATCCACCAAATTCCCAACGCTGAAACGAGAGAATAAAAGTAACGGGCTCGTCCATATCCATACTGATACTTTTGATCCGGAGTTTTAGCTGATTGCTTAATACCTAAATATAACAATCCTTGATTGAGACTATCTATTAGAGAGTGGCATGTTTCAGCCAAGAGTGTGGCACTACCTGATGTAATATATGCTGCAAATTTGATTGCTGTAATGAACGTATTTCCTGCAATTGCTTTTACCACAGCATTTCTACTTATTTTCTGTGGATCATAATCCTCTTTTTTCGTGTTCTGATGTTTATTTTCAGAACCACTACTACTTGCTGATGTTTGCTTCAAACATGTTGAAAATAATCTCTTTTGGGAAAATAAATTATGACTACTACTCTCATGATGATTCATTTTCAATGAATATTTGTCGTTGAAAATACTCATAGTCCTCGTCGTGGTCGTACCCATGGCACTACAACTATTACTATTTCTTTTCAGAAGAAACAGAGACCATGATGAACGAATCGGAGCAGCTTGAGCCTTTGGATTGTGTTCAAGCAAGCTCCGCCAAAGCCAACTTTTCATTTTTTTGATTTTTTCACTTCTTTTTTCGGGTTCATCGTCATGGTGCCTTGTTCTAATGATGATGATGATCGGTCCACTCATTCAATCATGACGATGGAAATTCTTCAAGCCATCATCTCAGAGATGAGAGAACATGAAAATTGAAAACACGTGTTTTTTAGAAAGAAAAAAATTCTAATCTTGATTGAACTTATCGTTCTTCATCATCGGATCAACTTCAGAAAATGTCTTCAAGTATATTAACCACCATAGTTATTCCTGCCTATAAAGAAGCAGCCAATTTGAAAGAATTGGTTACCCGAATTTATAACGCCATGGGAGAACGAGGAAAGAAATCAGCCTCGCTTGGTATGAGTCGGGAACGTACCGAAGTCATTGTTGTGGATGATAATTCAAAAGACGGAAGTGAAGAGATCATCAATGATTTAGCAAAAGATTCAACGAATTTTCCAAATTTAAGAATTATTGTTCGTACCAATGAAAAGGGACTGAGTAGTGCAGTGTTGAGAGGATTCAACGAAGCAAAAGGCGATTATTTAATGTGTATGGATGCCGATTTGCAACATCCACCTGAAGATGTGCCCATCATGTTTGAATATTTATTGAAAGAAGGAACACAGGTTCCAGAATTTGTTCTCGGAACTCGATATGGCAGCGGTGAGATGAGAGTGGATAGTAATTGGCCATTATATCGTCGAGTGATTTCAAAAGGAGCCCGATCGTTGGCACGTCCTTTAACACCACTCTCAGATCCCATGTCTGGATTCTTTGCATTACCAAAAACGGTCTATCAAAGAGCTATTCAAAATAAGGTGAATCCTATTGGATTTAAGATTGCTCTTGAATTGTTTGTTAAGGCAGGCGTGAAGAGACATGCCGAGCATGCATTTGCATTTGGTGTGAGACTTCATGGTTACAGTAAGCTTTCCTCAAAGGTCATTATTCACTACTTGCAACATTTATATGATTTGTATCAGTATAGATATCCTTTCATGTTGCATTTGGTGGCATTGTTTTTAATTTTGTTGGCCATCTTTGTGTTTTCTAGATTATTCTCCAAAAAGTAAAGTGAGATTGATCACTCCTGTATTTATTGACAGATTTGTGATTCATGTGCAGAGATCGCTGGTGAAAATGAACGGTTGTTAATTCAATGCATTTGTTTAACATGTCCAAAAACCATTACTGCTGCATTCCAGTTGTGACGAATAATATGACCATCTTTCTGATTGTGAATTATCGCTGATTTTGTCTTGTTCTTGCAAAGAGAGAAAAGTACACAACTCAAATTCCATCCAAAAAGTCCAAAAATTCAACCTTATCCATCGTCGTTCCATTAATGTTACAGCTCGCCTTCTCCAAATGTGATGAAAATTCTTCAAACCATGATCGTTGAGGATAAATCATTGAGTTTTGTTCCAAGCATTGAAGTAGGCAGAAAATGTCATCCACTTGACCAAAAGATGTCGTGCCATGTTTCGTGCGTTCATTGAGATGCTTGGTAAAACCTTTGGAGATGGCTTTCGCTCGACTCTTGATAAACTTTTTGAAAAACATGTCATTGTCAATGGCCATTTTCATGTCACCAAACAAAATGTAAGTGAGTTTACATTTTTGAGGCCCCTCACTTTTAAAAATGTATGAATACATGATATCTACAAGAATACGTTCCTTATTCTTCCGTTTTTCTTCAAATTCTGCTGATTTTGCAAGATTAATGTAACAATTTGTAATTCGATCGTGAAGTAATGTTTGTACAAAAATAATTTCTCGATTCTTTGAGAATTTTCCTAAATTATAGCTTTCACTCGAGTAAGCCATGGAGAGTGGTTTCTTGGGACCGGCACATGCTTCCACTTTGTACGTTTCAAAATCTCCAACAGTCATTGGATCTGATTTTAATTTGGCTCTGAAATTTTGTGATGAATATTGACAACAGGTTGTCATTGAAATATTTCATAATATATCTCATAATAAATATTCAATAAATAATAATAATCAATAACTTACTGTCGATCCACAATGACCTTATAACTATCTTCAACCGAGAATGGTAATGAAATCTCTACTTTGGCCAATTTAAAACTTGTATTCTCTTTTTCTTCTCCAATGAGAAACTTCTTACTGGATGTAAACACTTGATACGAGGTCACCAAGTCCTTTTCCACATGGAGAGACTTTTCAGTCACCTTTTCCCAACTGTCATCTTTACACAACATGATAATAAAATAAATATCCTTGTCAGTAATGGAGGGAGAAATGAAATCCTTGGCCTTGTATCGAATATCAATTTCATAACCTAGTTTGATATTAATTGCAATTTTCTTTGTGAAATCTTCACCTTTTGAAAGAAGAAAGTTTTTAGCTTCTGCACTCTTTTTGAATTTTGGAAAGTGTTCCATAGCCAAATCCTTGTAAATGAAATATTCCACATGGTCAAAGATTTGACACAATTTCACTAGAATATCATTGAATTGATTCTTATCTTCAATGTGACCTAAACATTTGACAAACAATGAAGATTCATATTCCAAATTATTGTTAGAACAAGCAGAGAGATGTTGTGGATCATTGGACGGAGGCGGTGTCGATGACGACGATGCACTCGATTTTGTATCTTCGATATATTCTAAAATTTCAGCTTGACAATTTCCTTCTTCTTGAGGTGTTTCTACAATGACTGTTGGCAATTTAATCACATCTTGATCCAATTCCAAACTTAACATTTCACTTTCAAATGCCTCACTTTTAAACAATTGTTTCGTCAAACTCATACTATGCACTCGAACATTGCCAAACGTTTTCAGTACTGAACTAATCACATGCCATCGCTTGTCCAGAGAGGTTGTGACCTCCGATGACACATTCAATTGATATTTGGATTCCTTTTCCATATAATTCGAAATCATTTCTTTTGCCATTCGATACAATTCAGCGACTGTCTTTTTATGAGAATTCAATGAAAAACTCGATGAAAAACTACTCTGAAGATTCTCTGTTTGAATCTCTGGACGAATGGACATGGTCGTTGGATTATAAATTCCCTTCCTTTTTTCCTTAAATTTCCACATGTCTCTCAAAAAGGAAACTGTCTCAGGAATTGCAAACCGTTGAATGTAATTGAGAAATACTTCTCGACTCTCATGAATTTCCATGACTTCGACCAGTTGTAATTCATATTCATCAGGATTAAAGAGTGGTTGTTGTTGTTGAGAAGGCAATAATGAAGGATTGGTTGAGGAGATTGTTGTTGCTGGATCGAATGGAGAAGAAAGAAGATCATTCTCACTTCCAGTTGTTGTTGTTGTTGTCATGGTGGTTGTGGTTATGTCGGAGAGAGTACTACCAGAACCACGAGGTGATCGAGGTGACTTTTTCATCAGAACGGAACTTGTCATGTGGTTGTTGTTATTGTGGAGTGAGAACAAGTACTCAAAGATTGATGATGATCACGTTGATGATGATGTGTCAATTCACAAGTTGATGATGTGTCAATTCAGATAATGGCGATGATGATGATGATTGTTTTTTCAAAAAACGACAACGTGATGATGCCAAGCGAAAGGAAACGATTCGACCTTGAGTATGTCCTCTGATTTGTGGCTTGTGTGATTGATTTGTTTTGAACAATGGGTCGATTCGCAAAATACAAAACAAGTCTTGGGAGCGTTTTTTTCTGTTTTGGAACTTGCGAGTGTAAAATGTCAGTTGGCAACAAAAGGTGTTGGCACCATGAAGTCAACCTTTCACAAAATTGTCTCACAGTACTAAGAATAATCAAGTTATAATTGGAAATCAATCTCGCTGTATTCCTTTTCATTGGCAACCTATTGGAAACCATGTTGGATGTTCCATCAGTGAGAATTCAAAACCTGAATGATTCAACAATAATAGTTCTTGAAAGACTCTCAACCAACGAACAACAAATATATTCGTTTCAAATGTACAATTCTTTTAAATCTTATTTGATCGATTGGTGTGTGCGTGCGTGTGAAAAATAAATACAATTATCACACAATTTCAATTGTGGATTCGTTTTAGAAATTTCTTCATCCATACACTTGGTACATCTCTTCACAATCGATCCTACTCGATTCACTTTTCTTTCCTTATACAATTCTTCCATACATTTTTTACATCCATAAAGTTTGAAATTTGATCCTTTAAGGAAATGTTCTTTCAACTCGGATCTTGGTTGCATGCAATGATCACAAATCATGACTTTGGATTTGGAACGTTCGGAATGTGAGGTTTCATCCTTTTGATCACAATCAATACAGAGATAATGTTCACACGAGTGACACCAAACTCGAGCCATTGCTCCACATTTTCCACAGACCAAGTATTTGGGTCGTTTGGGTAATTCAGTTCTTGATCGTGACCCAGGGTTGTTGTTGGAATGTTTTGAGGGATGTTGTTGAGTTTGAGAAGTATGACTGGAATTTTGATGTTTGGAAATGTCAAAAGTGTCAACATCATTCTGAGGAGCATTATTCAATGAATTTACAGAATGCTGACCCACCTGTGGTGTACCTTTTGGAGCAGCTGCTGCTGATGAACCAAAAGCTGAAGAAGACAAGGGATTGGGTAATGCCTTTTTTCTCTTATTTGAAGAAGAAGAAGATGCCAGTGACACTGTGGACATGCGTTGTGAACTCGCTCCAATATCTTGAATATTAATTTGAATATGAGAAAGTGAAGATGGTTGAAAACGAGTGGAAGGACTATGATAACTTCTTGGATTTGGTAAGGGACGTGATTTCAATATTGGTTGTGGTAGTTGTGTGGATGGCATTCTTTCCTCATGATTTCTATTCGAATTGTCATTGCGTTCAATAATTTCACAATTATTAATACTATTCTTTGGAATAAACTTTTTGTGTTCGAGAGAATGGTTGTCCTCTTCATCCTGTTCGTCCTCAGAATCTGAAAGATCATGATTTGTGCGTTTCATTTCTTTTGGTGTTTTTCTTGAGCAGTCATGCAACGATTTTTGTTGACCTATTATTCTTTCATCAATGCGTTCTTCAATCATTCGATGGTCAGAATCCTGATCTAATTCTTCTTCTTCTGTCATTGATTCTTCTCTAAATTTGGGAGGTAGAAATTTCTTTAATTTTTCTCTCATTTCCTTCTTCTCTTTCAAATAGAGTTTGATTTTTTGTTTTCGTTTCTTTTGAACATATCTCGCTACACAAAATCTCAACACTAGTAAGAATATCAAATACACTATCAAAGCAAAGGCCACAACAAATGGAAACCATAAATAATTAGGATATATTTGAATCCATTCCATGAAAGGATTAACCATTTGATAAATGGGAGAAGCTTTCTTTTTTTCTTCCAATTCTTTCATGGTTTGTTGTTTCTTAATGAGATAGTC